TTTGGAGAAGTCTCTTTGTATATAAAAAGATATCATTTGCTTGATACATCTTTTTCCAACCTATGATTTTTAGTCTATTTTTGCCTTTGCCTGTAAGATGTGTCTCTCGTAGACTGCATATTGATGGGTTATGTTTTCTTATCCAGTCTGCATTTCTCTGTATCTTGAGTGGTGCATTTAATCCATTAGCATTCAGTGTAATTATTGACAAGCATGAATTGGTTGCTGTCATTTTGTTATTTGTTTTTTCATGGTGTTCCTTGTTTCTTTGTTGCATATAATTTTCTGTGCTGAGTTCATTATATTTATGAGTCGTGTTACCATTTCCTGTGTTGCTATTGTTTTAGTATGCTAAATATTTGTGTTTGTCCTCTCTTTTTATTGTGATGTGAAGTTTTACCATTTTCCTTTGAGGTTACCCTGTGATTTATAATTTTCTCCTGACTTTAGAACTGTCCATTCTATCTTGCATCTCTCTGGACTTCCTCACCATTTAGGAGTTCTGTAACTACACTATTTTTTCCCTCTTTTTGGTTTGTAGCTGTCCTCATTTGCCAATTGATGTCTCTGGTTCCCTGTTGACAATCTTGTAAGCCTATTTTACTTTGGATAGTTCCATAGCTGTGTTGGTTTCTGGGTTATGTCATCTTGTGTATTAATGGTCAATTGTTATTTGCTAATTTTGGCTCTCTGTTCAAAGGACTCCCTTTAGTATCTCTTGTAAGGTTGGTCTGGTTTTAACAAATTCCCTTAATTTTTGCTTATCTGAAAATCTCCTAATTTCTCCATCAAATTTCAGGAACAGTTTTGCTGGGTATATAATTCTTGGTTGGAAAATTTTCCCTTTCAGGGTTTTATATATACCATCCCATTGCCTTCTCGCTTGCATGGTTTCTGCTGAGAAATTAGAGCTTAGTCTTTTCTATTAACATTTGGTGTAATTGTCCTTTGTAGGTAACTTTTTATTTTCCCATGCTGCTTTCAGGATTCTTTCTTTGTCTTTGGTTTTGGTGAGTTTGATGATGATATGTCTTGGTGATTTTCTTTTCGTGTGTTTGAGGTTCATTGGAGTTTTTCCAACAAATCTCGAACAATTTTCTCAGTAGTTTTCTTTTTCTCTTCCTGTTCTGGAATTCTGATTATATGTAGGTTATTCCTTTTGATGGTATTCCACGTGAGCCTTTGGCTTTCTTCATTTTGTTTTGATCTTTTTTCTGATTGTTTCCTTTCCAAAGTAGTATTTACGTATTTGTCTTCAATCTCGCTAATTCTGTTTTCCATTTATTCAATTCTATTGAATTATAAAAATTCACCTTGTTTTGTCATTTACATTTTACAAATATATTGAATTTACAAGTTCCTTTGCCCTTTCAGTGTATCATCTATTTCTGAAAATTTAGTATTAAACTTCTGGATTTCTGTATGTAGATTTTTGTATCTTTTCTAACTTTTCATTTATTTTGTTCTTGTATTTTCTTCTGAAATAGTTCTAGGGTTTTGTCTGTGTTTTCCTTAATTTTTTCAGTGTTTTCCTTGATCTGTCTCACAATCCTTTGAAGATACCTAAATATAATTCTTTTGAATTTCTTACAAGGGAGTTTCAATGCTGCTTTTTCCTCAGGGATGTGTTCTGGGTCTGTGTCCTGCCTCCTTGTTTCTACCTCTTTATCTTTCTTCTTTGTATGGACTGTGATGGTCTTTTGTCTCTGAGACATTGTGATGTTGTATTTAGATCTCTGTTAACTGTTTGTGAAGAGCAGCTGAGAGTGAGTCAGGCTCTTCTTGATGGTCATTTATCGTTGGCCAGTTGGTGGAGAAGGAAGTGGTGGCTCTCACACGGCACAGTAAATTGTACTGCAGGAGGTTCAGGTGTAGTTGTGTCATATGAGCCATGTTGCTGTCTCCCACTCAGTTGAACAAAAACAATAATCGAAAAATCATCAAAAAGTAAAAAGCAAGTGGACAAAAAACATAGTGCAGAAACACATAGGAACAATCACCAAAAAAGAGAGAAAAAAAAAGATAAAAACGAAACTATGCAATATCTGGGGAGAGGGCAATAAGAGAAAAAAGGTACAGTAGGAGAATAATGAAAAAAATGTGAAAAATGCAAAAAGAAAAACAAGGAATGGGGTTAACCACAAGAAAGAAAAAAATGGGAAGCAGGAACAGGAAAGGAAGAAAAAGCTGAAAACTAGAACCTGGGAAGGGAAGAATAAAGAATAATAGTAAAAAGACAAAAAAATAAATAAATAAATAAAAGAATAATAATAATAATTTTAAAGCAAACTAAAGAAAAGGAAAAAAAAATCTGGGCCGGGTGGGGCAGGGCACCCGGGCTCTGTCCAAGCACACAGACTGGGATGGGATTCCTGCCAGCCCAGAAGGTGGGTGTCAGTGAGGGATTGCCACACCTCCATTCACCAAGGAGGTGTGGGGTTAAGAGTAATGAGAATATCACACCTTTCCAGTCACGTTCATGTTCTGAATGTCCTTGTGGTTCCCAGCAAGTGGAACCTGTTCTTAAGTCCCTGGAGTCTGGAGAACATTGTCACTTTATCCAAAATGGTTGAACCGCTTGTAAATATTCAAAATGGCTGTGCCCTCCGGACAGGCAAAAGTCCACAGCTTAGCCTGCCTTCTTCTTCGCTGCTTCTCTTTTTATTCACCGGCCACCAGTGCAGTCGTCCATGCAGCCCCTGGCTAGTAGGGCTGTTTTTTAGGTTAATTCTTCGGTCCTAACACCACTCGGCAAAATCCAAATTATCTGTGCCTTCAGGATTGCTGACAGACCACAGCTCTGTATGTCTCCTTTTTTGCTGTTTTCATGCAGTTCTTCTACTAGTTGGAGTTTAGTCCGCTTCTATATCCTTCCCTTCAAAGCTCAGGACTCCAGGATTATTTGTTTCTGTGTTAATTGTTTCCCCTTTTCTTTGTTGCCTATTTGACCATCTTACCGGAACCTCCCAAATGTGCATTTCTTTAGTTAACAAAACATTTACTATATAATGGTGGTGGTCTTACATTTTTGCATAAGCTCTTTGTTATAGGCATTAATACCTTTGTCATAGTGGATTTCAATTTGTACATAGTTAGCTCTTTTCCTTCTTTTAATGCTTCAGTCATCAAGCCTTAGAAAATTAGCATCTCTCTGTAGATAGCATTTGGAAGGAAGATTGGGCAATCTACTTTCGTAGTGATACTGCCTCGGAAACCCAAGAAGGGTCACTATGAGTCAGATCCGACTCAATGGCAGTGAGTTTGTTTTTTGGTTTGGTGGATAGGATAAATAGGTTTCTAATGAGTATTTTTTCTTATTCTTTCTATATTTCACTCTAGTCCATTTTGCATGTTATTTTCAAGGCCACTGTAGTTTAATGGCAAAACACATGATTATAGAGTGTGAGACCCTGAGCTGTCAGTTTTTGATTATAAAACCAGAGCAAATCCCTCAATTTCTTTGAACTTTAATTTCTTTTTTTTCCTTCTGTAAATGGGAAATATTTATGGCGATGTGAAATCACTTTATAACTTTATAAACTAAGACAAAATAGTACTGTAGTAGGAAAGTTTTCCTTTTTTGAGATAAGTAAGCATTTGAAAATGTAATGCATACCATATGACTAATGCACATGCATTTCATATAGGTATTGGGAAACTAGAGAGCAGCGAGCCCCCACCTTGAAAGGCAAGCTCGTTCAGAAGGCTGACCAGGAGCAGCAGGACCCTCTGGAGTATCTTCAGTCTGATGAGGATGATGAGGAGGAGAAGAGCGGTGCCCAGCGTCGGCTGCAGGAGCAGCGGGAGCGCCTGCATGGAGCCCTGGCCCTTATTGAGCTTGCCAACCTGACTGGAGCACCACTCCGCCAATAGCCAGAACACTGACTCTTCCACTGTACAAAAGTACTGCCCGTCGTACTTACAAAGTAGATCCTTGGGCATAAGCTAAGCACCTTATTTGCTTATCATAGGCTGCTATTCTGTAGAAATTTATGAAGAATGTCATTGCCCCAGAATATGGGGTGAGAGAGAATTGCACTTTTTTTATATGGAAAGAGATCTGATGTAAAGTTTAAAATATTTTGTAAATATGGGACTGAACAGTACAGGGTAGAAAACTATATTGTGGGAAGCTAGATTTTGCAAGTTTAATGCATTCATTGGAAGCAGTTCTCACAGAATGCACTTTCTGAATAAGACACTTGTGTGAAAAAAACAGAATGGTACACATAGCCAAAGAACATGAAATAGATTATTTATAAGATCATTTTTAACGATGTATATTAGTATGTTTAACAATACTGTAAACACTGAAGCAAGTATAAGATATGTGTGTAAGATAAGATATTTTTAAATTGCAAATTAGTTGCTCAGTGAGGGCTACAGAATGGAAGCTGAGGATTTTGGAAGATGTTCTAAGAAGCTGTCGAGTTGAAAGAAAATAGATATTTGAGGATCTTGGTTAAGATGCACAGTAGTTCAGAATTTTCAAAATGGAATAAAATCAGTCTTATTCTTTTTGGGGCTTTACAGCTCTATGATGTTTAGGTTTGAAAAGCACTTGTCATCCCTAGCATGCTAACTTGGGAACTTTTGCACATTTCATATTTCTCATTTGCTAAAATTGAGTGTTTAATCTTGCAAAGTCTAGGTAACATGGTAATTGGTAATTTTTAAAATATATATTATGGGCCCTGTAATGATTTGGCACTTGGATTTTTATTAATAAGTGGGACATCTACAGGGTTGTTTTGTAATGAACTGTTTTTAGATCTTTTGTTAGCAAACACTAAATTGTCATTGTACTGCTTGTTTAGAATTATTAGCAAGTGGAAGCCTCCATATTTATATGTTCAGTGCATAAAGCCACCTTCTTGCTTACTTCAGAATAACATGCCAAGCTATTTTGTGTTCACTAAATTTAGCTATCAGTTAAACACTGCAGAAAATATTAGCTACTCAAATAAGTAGGCTTCTAGATTAGTTTTAACTGCAAGTGTGTTAACTTGTGTGGTGGTTTTAAACCATTTTCCCAATAGATTACATTATTAAACACCACTTTTTATGTACTAAAGCATGAGCAGAAAAATCAAGAGCTAAGCAGTCCACCTCCTTTATATAGATGTAAGCCTCGGTCATTTTCGCTTTTGTTTTAAGCAGAAACTAAATGACATGCATAGCATGGTGATTTATAGATTACTTAATTGGAGTAAACCTCAGAATAGTAGAGGGAAATGTGGGCTCTTCAGCACCCTATTTTCCTTTTTGAATTGAAGTGGTATCTTACAGATGTAGTTTAAACATTATCTAGAATGTAGGCTTCTTTATTCAAAAATCTTAACGTGTTGCAGTACATAGATAGATTAAATATGTAGCCATGGGGAGGGGGAGGTATGTAAATGTCTTGATAAGTAGTGAAAGTGTGAAAGAAGATGGAGTAACAAATAATGTGTATGATGAGGACATACTTTAAAAATGTAATTCCTCTGTACAGTAAATTACAAATCTTGAGGGATTTTTTTTTTTCTTTTTTGTAATAAGAGAATTTATATTTGTAATGGTCAAAGAATTTTGTTTGTAACCTGGTATATAGAATTTTAACTTTGAGCACTTAAAAGCATGGGAAGAGAGACTGTAACATCTGAATTTCCTTGTTTTGGTTTCAACATTTCCTATAGAATTTTTCCTCTCAAATGTGCTTTAAATGAATTTAAAAAAAGGTAAAAAGCAACACTTAATCAGTCTTGAGAAATTTAAAATTTGATAACTTTACCTAAAGAAGGAAGGGCAGTAAAGATTTTAAAAATACAAATGCTTGCCAGTTCACAGATGATAAAATTTAAGGCTTTCAAAGTAAGGATTTTCTTTATTTCTCCAGTCAGTTTTTGTCAACCATAGTTAGTTATATTTACAAACATATTTTATTTGTATAATTGGAACAGTTTAAGAAATTAACATAACTGTTTACTATAGAAACATTTAAAATGTTCTTTTTTGATATAAGCTATATACTTGGACAAAATACATTGGCATTTAAAATTTGAGATGTTTTAAGACTGCTTTTTGTTTTAAAAAATGTGGTTTACATTCAAATTTTTGAAGTGTTTTATGCTTCATATGGCTAAGTTGTAGTTTGGCAGAGTTAACAGCATAAGACTAAAACATGCTGTAATTTTAAGAGATGCTTTGAATAAAAAAATTATTTTAAAGTTTAAAGTGCATGGTCATTCTTGAACCTTTTATAGTATGTTTTCCTATTTAAAGTATAAGTAACAGTGATACAGAAAAATAAATTAAAAAGTCACCTACAACCCTACATTCTTCCATCATTATTATTTTAGTGCATTTTGTATTTCCTTCCAATTTTATCACAGGCTTTTCTTTTTTTTTTTCATATCACAACCGTAGTATGAATGGCTTTTATCTTTAAAATTATGTCTTTTCAGGTTATAGATACTAACTTCCCTATCTGGTTCATTATTAAAATGTTTAAAATACATTTGTGTGGATAAACCATTGTCTCAACCCTAAGGCCTTAAAGTGACAAAAAACAGATTTCATTTCACTTATTTTCAGGATGTGTTGGAATGTTAGGGTCACCTTCCCAAGAATCCACTCAGCCTTCTCTCTGTAATAGTCTAGTGAAGTGTTTCCTGTTTCCATCAGTTACTCTTTTTGTGTGTGTTAAAATATGTAAGATAAAATTTGCCATTTTAACTATAAATTCAATGACAAATTTTTATGTTTACAGTGTTGTGCAATCATTACCAGGATTTGTTTCCAAAACTTTTCATGACCCCAAAAAGAAACTCTGTACCTATTAAGCATTAACTCCCCTTTCTCCCTCCTCCCAACCCATTGTAATCATTAATCTGCTTTCTGTTTCTACGCATTTGCCTATTCTCGATAATTTATCAGTTATTCTTGGTAACTCTTTAGTAGTGTACTTGCAAGGTTCAGGCTGTCCAGGCTTTGGACAAAAGAATTTCACAAGCAGAACTAACTGATATAAACTGAAATAATGTCCAGGCAATATATAAGTAAATCAAATGCAAATATGACTAAAGCCATTATTAAAAATGGCTTAAAAATACTATTTTACAGCCAAAACTTAAGATTCTCACTAGAAACTTCATCTTTTTGACAGAATTAGCCAAAATGATGTGAAAGTTCAAAATTTTCCTTTTAATTTATTCAAATATTCAAATGGATTCATTTTCTATTTTAATACAGGGTCTTGTGGGGGGGGGTTGTTCTTGTTTTAGGTTTTTGAGTCTCTTCCTGTCTTACCTTTTCAGTGCCAGCTATTTTTCAAAAGTTCTGCCTTAGTCTAATCAGAGCTGAAAATGTTCCTCAGTATTTAGTCTTTAACTTGTTTATTGTCTACAACAGAAAAACAATTATCCCAGATATTGTGGCTCAAACGTTTTTTCACTTGAAAATTTTAACTTTTCCAAAAAGCTAAATTTCAATTTTTTAAAAGTTATAAATATTTGGAATGAATATGGGACACTTGAAATGCTGTGGCAGGACGACTTTGGCCAATATAGGCAGTTCTGGTAGGCTCCCCTTGAATTCAGGTGAACCACAAAGATGGGTGTGTAATTGGCAAGCTGGGCATAGACACGGGGCCCTCAGGTGAGCGGGAACCTACCATTAAACACCTGAGGCAAGAAAAGCCCTGAGACTTTACAGCTACCCTAAGGCTAGCCATTTCCCTCCTGGCACCATATTTTGTACTGGGAGTGCTGTGTGTTATATGCTTGTGGGTGATATTTACAGCACCAAATGGGGAAAGGGTATTTGCCCTGGAGAAATGAATACACATGTCCACACAAAAACTTGTTTATAGCAACATTTCCCCCTAATACTCCCAAACTGAAAATAGGATGTCCATCACCTGGTGAGTGGATAAACCAATTGTGACACTATTCAACAATTCAAAGGAACAAACCACTGGAACCCCAAATAACATGGATGAATTGCAAATAACTCAGAGAGAGAAGCCTTCAAAGAGTACATACTCACTTACATAAGGAACTCTGGTGGCATAGTGCCTAAGACATTCGCCTGTGAATCAGAAGGTTGGAGATTCAAACCCACCAGCTACTTCGCGGAAGCAAGACGGGGCAATCTACTTCCATAAAGATTTACCGCCTTGGAAATTAATTTACATGAAATCCTAGAAAAGGCAAATCTAACTTACAGTAATAGAAATCAGAATGAGATGGAGGGTATTGACTTCAAAGGGTTACAGGGAACTTTTTGAGCTGATGAAAATGTGCTATGCTTTGAGGTAGTTACACGGGGTATGTACATTTGTCAAAACTCAGCGAACTATGGACACGTAAAATCGACATTTTACTGTATGTAAATTATATCTTAAATCAACATTGTGTGTGAGTGTGTGTGTGTCTGGTGTGTTGAGGGCGAGCGAAAGGAACCCTAAAGCTGAAGCGCTTCTGTGTAAAAGAGCAGTGTGGAAGAAGGTAGGGCTTTGTAACTCTCCCAAACCCGTGTCTTTCCTTCATTAGGCTACACTTAGAAGGAGGTGCTTAGATCCACTGTAAGTTTGAGGATAAACTCTAGGGACACTCTAGGGTCCGAGCAGTCCCGATTGTCCTCCGCAGCCTGCAGTTTTGGGGCGCTCGCAGAGGGCGGGCGGGGATCTAGGGTTCGCTCTGCGGCTCTTCCAGTTTCTGCCGCGCCCTCTTCCCGGACCGGCCGAGGGCGGGACGGAACTGGGGCCTGGGCCCGAGCCCCGCCAGTCTGCCGCGGAGCCGGCGCGCGGCGGGTCCGCGCTTGGCCCGCGGGACATGACGGCGGGCAACAAGGCCGACGGCGCGGGCGCGGACCCGTCCCCCGCGCAGCTGCCCTCCCGGGTGGCCAAGCTCCTGTCGGCGCTTTTCTACGGGATCTGCTCCTTCCTCATCGTGCTGGTCAACAAGGCGCTGCTGACCACGTATGGGTGAGGCGGGTCGAGGGGTTCGGGCGGGGGTCTGCACTGAGCGCCCCGCTGCGCGGTGGCCACCTACCCAGGGACCTTGGATCGCCAGGCGCCACACTCCCAGGTCCCCGCTGGCAGGGCGCGGTGGAGGCGCCGCCGGAGGAGCAGAGCACTGGCGGCCCCTCTTCTCCTTGTACTTCGGCCCCGCCCAGGTCAGATGGCGGATGAGGACAGAGAACCAGGAGGTCTACACTACAAACTTCAGTGCCAACGTGCCTGGCTGTGCGCTCTGCACAATACCAAGTTTTCAGAAAGGGCTGGAACCTTTACAGCTTACTCCAAGCAAAATCTCAACAAAGTAGTCCACGTTTTGGTGACCGCGGATACACCTTACTGCTGAATCCTCTGCAGTAACAGTATTTACAGAGCTACACCCAAATGGTTTAAAATACACGAATGAGCTAAAAGTGAATTTTAAAGATTAATAATTCTTTACACAAGTGTAGGTGTACGACATTCACATTTGTTTCGATTTTAATTTAGCCGATACATTTAATTTGTACTGGTTACAAAGAATGGTTGTACCATTCATTCTCACATTGCTGGCGTTTGCATGGAAAACAGAAGTTCATGGGATGTACTTTTTTGGATTAGTGTGAAGTAAGCCATTAAATTTATGGTTCTTGAAACTATTTGTAAGGACTAGAAAATTCTGTTGAATGCTACTAGATGGTAGCAATTTGGAAACAGCAGAGGATTTAGACCCAGCCTCACATTTAATGTATGTGTGATCTTAAGCCAGTCCCACAGTCAGCAATTTTCTCGTGTACAAAAGCTGAATAATAACAACTGTGTTCATCATACCTTACTTTGGAGTTGATTCTGACTTACGGTAACCGTTGGTGTGTCAGAATAGAATGGGGTTTCATACGGTTTTCAGTGGCAGAATTTTCAGGAGCAGATCTCCAGGCTTCTTTTCCTAGGCACCTCTGTGTGGATTGAGCCTCTAACCTTTTAGTTAGCAGTTGATAGGTTGCACCACCCATTGCGTGAATTACCTGTGTTAATTTCATTCCAGTCTATGAGGGAAGGCTCTTTGTAAACTATACTGTGCCATAGAAATGTAGAACCAGGATTTTAGAGCCCAAAGAAGCCTCAGAGAACATCATCGGCCTTCTTATTTTATGTTTGAGAAAACTAAGACCCACATGAATGTAATTGGCTACATATCCAGTATCTACTTAAGTATTTACTGAGCACCTACTATGTGCCAAGCCCCTTCCAGGCACCAAAGAAATAATTGAGCAAGACAGACAGAGGCCCTGAATCTAGAGATGCCATTTCAGTAGTAGAGACAGGAAATAAACTAGTAAGTTTATGAATCAACCAGACAATTTCATTTTCATTTTCACTGACCCTCTACTTTACCAAACATAACGTTCTTCTCCAGAGACTGGTCTGTCCTGATAATGGGACCAAAGTACAAGAGACAAAGCCTTGCCCTCTTCTCCTCTACGGAGAATTCTGGCTTTACTTCCTCCAAAACAGGTTTGTTCATTCTTCTGGCAGTCTGTGGTATATGTCTCATAACACCACAATTCAAATGCATCAATTCTTCTTCAGTCTTTCTTATTCATTGTCCAGTTTTCACATACATATGAGGCACTGAAAATCCCATGGCTTGGGTCAGACGTGCCTTAGTCTTCAAAGTAACAGTGTTGCCCTTTAACACTTCAAAGAGGTCTTGTGGAGCAGATTTGCCCAATGCAATACATCATTTGGTTTCTTGACTGCTGCTTCCATGAAGGCTAATTGTGGATCCAAGTAAAATGAAATCTTTGACTAACTGAAGTTAGTCTTTTCTCCATTTATCATGATGTTGCTTATTGGTCCAGTTGTGACTATTTTTGTTTTATGTTGAGATGTAATCCATACAGAAGGCTGTAGTCTTTGATCTTCAACAATAAATGCTTCAAGTCCTCTTCACTTTCAGCAATCAAGATCATGTCATCTGCATATCGTAGGTTATTAATGAGTCTTCTTCCAATCCTGATTCCACGTTCTTCTTCACATAGTCCAGCTTCTGGGATCATTTGCTCAGCATACAGGTTGAGTAAGTGTGGTGAAAGGATACAGCCCCGATGCACAACTTTCCTGATTTTAAACCCTGCACTATCCCTTTGTTCTGTTCAAACGAAAACTTTTTGATCTATGTACAGGTTCTTCATGAGTACAATGAACTGTCTGGAATTTCTATTCTT